CCCTCCCTCCCTGCAAAATATCATAACATTTTTTTCAAGTCTTTGCAGACCCCCTGTGAGGACATCATGGCCCTCTGGGGGGGGTCCATGGGCCACAGATTAAGAACCTATGCTCTGGACCTTCCAATTTCTGCCTTAATTCAGTGCTACAAATATAGCCTTCCCACCCACTGACCATTCTCCCAACCCTGCTTCTTACCCTAGCCAGGCATCAGTCCCTCATAAAAGACATACAACGAATCTCCAAACCCAGCTTCTCCTGCAACTTTAATCAGAGCCCAGGTCTCTCATCTCTAGCCCTTGTTGTGCAGTACGAGATCCACTGAGCAAAGGAGAACCCCGATGACCACAACGCATTTCCCTTTGGCTCTCCTTTTCTTATTTCGGTACATCAGGCTTGCCTCCAGCAGAGAAGCCGCTATAAATGTGCAGCACACGCTGCCTGTGCTGTGAGAATGAGTATATTGAATTCAGCTCCCTGCCTGTCTTTGGGGATGGAGTAGACTTCCCCTTAATAAGCGCCTCTGACTACCTTAAAGATGAAAAGGGAAGGGAAATGTTTATATTCTGACAAAGCACCTCTTTCCACCAGGCTTTCCACCAGGCTCTTGGGGCATTCTGAAGCTTGCTCTGTCCCCTTTGTCGAGTTTCTCTCCTCCTTTTCTGGTACCTCCATTCCTCCCCCTTCGCCTTCTCTCTTGCATTTGCTAATTTCATCCTTGAGTGACAGGGACATTCTCAGAAAAATCTATGACACCTGTCTTCAGTTCTTCCTTCCTCTCCATCCATCCTCACCCCAAGAGGAGAATATTAAAAAAATATTTCCCTCTTCAATAAAGCAACACATCCTCCACCGGAAGAAATGATAACATTTCTCCAAGTCACGTTTACACAAAAGACAAGGTGTTGTTTCCCCTATTAAATTGTTTCAAAAAGACCCCCCCCCGGGCATTCTGAAACTGTGATAAAAATATTTGTTTGTTTGTTTGTTTGCAAGATTTTTTTACCTGCTCCATTACCAATGGTCTCTGAGCGGCGTACAACAATTATCAAAACTTTAAAAACATTAAAACCAATAAATACAGGCAAAAAAGAATTCAAGGATGTGCTCAACTGTAAAGCCTCAGGTTACAGTACTTCCTAAAAATGGACAAGCCGTGGTTAAAGCACAAGTTTGCAAACTGGGGGAGCCCATCATCTCTCACCCTTGGTTATGCTATCCAGGACTAACAAAGGTGGGGGTTTTCTAAGCAGTGAGCATAGGAAGTATTCTACTTTCCCTCTGAAATTCAACATGTGCAATATCTAAATGAGATGCATTTAACACCATGTCTACCAATTTAGTCTTTGGGTGGGTGAATTTTTTTTGGACAAAGAGAGTCTATAAACCTGGGGCTAAATTAAAAAGTCCTTGATCACAAGGTGTTTTTCTACACCAGAGTCTCTGACTGCATCTGTTGAGATTACTGTATATTGACAGTTGAGGTAAAATCTAACTATACAATAGGGGTGGTACTGTATATTTGGGGGAGACTTGCAACTATGTAATAATATGCTCTGTGGGTCCCTGTGGGTCCCTGTCTGGATTTCTTCTCTGCTGCGTAGCTAGAGTTTTTAAGCCAGTAATTTCCACACTTTGCTGCAGAAGAGGAAAAGTTTGTCATGTAAATTACATCCTCCAAAATTCTTACTTCTTTAAATCTGTTAAAGATGTAAGAGGGCTGTCTTCTTTTCCATTTATCTTGAACAGTGAACAACATGGACAAATTCAATTGGACAGGCTTTGGTGTAGGCATAGATGGTTGGTGCCTGAGGCATTAAAATTTTGGGGTGAGGCACCTCCTCTCTTGGTCTCCCTACTGCCCCTGAGTGCAGGGACATAAATTCCCACCAGTGCTGAATTCCTACTAGTCAACAGCCCAGGCTACCCATCCATGCCAGGAATAAACAAAGGAAAATAAAACCTGACCGGCTTAGTTATGATGGATTAGAAATTGGAAACAAGCTGCTTCCTATCCAGTTATAAATCTTTGACCTTCTTCTACTTTGTTATAACTGTGGTCCTCAGATTACTTGATCTGGCAAAATCCCACTGATGTCCCCATTTATGTCTGATGACTGATGCGCTTTTATGCCAGAATTTCTAAAGCAACCTCCATTGATATCAGATCTTTTTATTATAGGCAGATGATGACTGCACACTTTAAAATCTGACAGCTATTTGTAACAAACAAGTATGGCTAAGAATACTGTTCTTAATAACATACTTGTTATTATAATTTTAACTAATTAATTATGGCCCTGGCCAGCTGGGACCATCATATGTGGAATAGAAGGAAGTGTAGAGTAACATCATAGGAAGCGAAGTTTTTAATCTCAAGGGAGATACAGTGGAGAACCAAACTTCCCAACCTCTGGCTCTGCAAAGGAAGGAAGGAAGGAAGGAAGAAAGAAAGAAAGAAAGAAAGAAAGAAAGAAAGAAAGAAAGAAAGAAAGAAAGAAAGAAAGAAAGAAAGAAAGAAAGAAAGAAAGAAAGAAAGAAAGAAAGAAAGACATAAAGAAAGAAAGTAAGAAAGAAAGAAGCAATCTATCCAGAGAGACCATTACATATTAATATGGTCCAGTAGCTTTAGTTCAGAATATCACTCTGAAGCATCTTATAGCATAGTTAAGGCTGTCATGAGAAAACTGAACCCATTAACTCCCAATCATTCACAGCTCAGGAAGTTTCTGAATATGGTTCAGAGAAAAGAACCCTGTTGAGACCCTAGGAAGAGGAAGTGTACCTTCTCTCCAGCATCCTCTCCATCATGAATGTAGAATGGGAGAAACATGAAACAAAATTATGAATGAAAAAAGCATTGCCTCCCAAAAATCTTCTTACCCCCTGCCAGGTTGTTCTTCTGGATCCAGTTTCAGATCCCCACCTCCATTTCCGTTTCCCTTTTGTTAGGGCACTGACCTCCCTTCAGATGTTACCCATTAGGATTCCTGACCATATGGCAGCTCAAAGCTCACCTATCAGTCACAGCCGCTGAGTCAGGAAGGAAGAAGCATGTTTCAGATTTCAGGAGATCCTTTTCTGATGACATCCTTGCCTTACATGCAGACATCTGTCTCATTATGGCTTTGCTCCCTGCCTTCTCTGTTTTGATTATCTCCTCTCCCCTGCCAAAAGGAAAATAAAATATTAAATAGATACTCAAGCACAGCACAGTCCAAATTTCTACACTAGCACATGACTTAGAGTTATGGAAACTTCTTCATAGGAGGGCTGGGTGAAAGGTACATTCAGATGTACCAATAAATCGCTAAATGATTTGCAGTAGAGCTGCCGGAATTTCTGATTCTCACTTGCATAAATAAATATTGTAACCAAAATACTTTTTTAAAGAGAAGCTGCAATGTTAGTCAGTTGCAATAACAACCATAAAAAGAGAGAGATAACAAAAACAGTAACCCCATTGTGGCACCTTTAAGAGTAAGAAGTTTATTTCAGTATGAGCTTTTGAGGACACAATTCAATTTTTAGGCACAGATCTGTCTGAAGAAATGGACTGTGTCCATGAAAGCTCCCACTGAAATAAATCTGTTAGTCATACAGGTGTTGCAGTACTTATACAACTAAGAGATCATATGCTTTAAAAAAATTCTTTATGCACTGCATGGCTTGCCTTAAAAAGACATCTATGAATAGTAACAATCATTGGAAGTGTGTGTGAAGCTGCACGCAAGCAAGGAAAAGATGTTGCATCACCACTTCCAAATCTTGCTGAAATGGAGAAGGTTGTGATGATAGGGAAAATGTTTTCCTGCTTTGGAGGGATGGTGAGCTCTGTCGCCCATGGTTAGGAAAGGGATTCCACCCCATGAGTTCATACTCTACCCTAAGTGCCACTGTGCTACAAGTCAAGATACCAACCTGCAAGTCAAACTTAAAATCAACGACAGCAGCAGCAGCAGCAAGCATGCTGATGGGATCCTGTTATCAAATCCTTCAGCAGTGGCTCTCTTCCAGAAGGCCCTCTGAAGGCGCTGCTTTGTGACTGTGGAGAAGCCAAGCTAAGCCATGAGCCCCTTGAAGGCAGCAGGGCCTCCCATGGTCTCAGCTGCCAATTCTTCGCTCATCCATCTTGTCGGGGCAGTCATGCTTGGGAGTCAGGCATAAAACCAACTTTTAACTGGTTTTAGTTGATGGGTTTTAGTTGCAGGTTTCAACCAAAACTTAGGAGAATATTTCCATTCTAGCTTCTGCCAAGAGAAATTTATTTGCAGCCGAAACCCTATTGGAGACAGAGTGAAGTGTTTCCACAGCCAATGACTGGCAGTCCTTCTGCATTCTTTCTCTCTCACTCTCTCTGAAGCAACATGCGGCTCCACACACGCTTCCAATTATTGTTACTGGCAAAATATATATATTCCAGTACCTATTCATAGGAGCCTTTTCTTTTTAGGCAAGCCATGCGGCACATAAAGAAATTTTTTTTCTAAGCATTTGAGAATGGAAGCAACAGGACTCTACATCATACCACCTGCCTATGTGGAACCATCTACATGGGATCTGAATAAAAGCTCTGTGGTTTTACAATTAGCCTCAGACGCGATACACTGCCAGGCAAATAAGTTGGAGGGGAAAAGGAGGAGGAGGAGAGCATTAAATAAAAGCCACATAATTAAGTAAAAATCCCTCATTCCCATCAGAGTATCAATTCAGGGGGCAAAGGAGGCTTGAAAATGTGGCTTTCTAGTGCCCACGAGGGAAAGAAGCTCAGCTATTCCAGTCACAATGTGAAGCCCATTATTGGCAGCTGTAAAGAGAGACTGACAGGGAGAGAAGAATAGCATTTTTTTTGTAATGATTTCTTGTGGAAGAACACAAACACAGTGTTCTGGAGGTGACAGGGAATGGAATTCCAATGCCAAATTTCCTCATCTCGCCTTCATTTTCTTCAGCAGCATCTAAATTTGCTTTCTAAAGTGCTATTGATATTTCAAAAATAACCTCCTAAACAGCAAGAAGTACATCAAGGACCAGCCCTGTCTCATTAGGCAGAGGAAAATAACCCTCTCAGGTGGAAAATGCTTGGTGAGGCGGTCAGCAGGGTCCCTCCACATCTTTCTGAGTTCCCTTCCAGTTCTCATCGGCTGGGTCGGGGGGGACCTAAAAGAAACTGTAGCCCTGAGGCATGGGAAGGGGACACTGTCCAGACCCCAGGATTGAAGTAACATTCAGCCACCAGACCTGCCTGCTGTTTTATGTGAGGAGAAGGGGCACCACCTTCACCTCAGGAGGCCACTCACCTACCCTGCAGCAGAGGACTGCTCTCACTTCTGAGCCTCTGTAGTAAGTTGAGAACAGAGCTTAGATGTAACCAGTTACAAATACCACAGCTACCAGAAACAAATTGTTGTTGCTATTTGCTAAGAGAGTCTCAAAGGAGATACATTTCAAGAACCACAAATCTATGGTAACAAAATAAGGAAAGCCCACGGGGTCCTTAAGATGACACGAATGCAAAAATAGGCAAAACCTGTATTAGACCACTAAAAAAAAAAGTTCAAAAATTTGTTACATCTTAAAATTCTTCTTAAAGAGCTTTTTGACACTCTCAGATTTGTCTCCCCAGCTTGAGAACTGGAGAAATGAAGTAAGGCCTTGTGTCTTCAGTTGGTGCCCTAAAAGCTGGCAAGCGTTGTGGTTCAAGATAGCTGGCAGACACAGAACAGACAACAGGGTTGTGGTGGGATGTGGGGAGGCTCAAGAAGGCGGAGAGAATAAGGCATCTCTAAGCGCTGTGCTCTATGTCAGAACTGATTTTTAGCAAAGACAGAATCTTCTACTGCAACTTCCCGCCAAGCTTTCTTGATTTCTCCATGGAATATGGGAGGGCAGGAAAGCTGCTTTTCTTGGTTCCTGTTGTTCTCTGGCAGTCCCCCTTCAGCTGCCTTTGGGGTCTGTCCCTAAAGGATCCCCCCCACACACATTTTTTGGATGTGTGTGTGTACTTCTGCAGACTCTGAGGTTCCCAAACTGTTTTTAATGCCTCCTTCTTCTGTGTCAAAGGAGTTGTTTTGCCTACATAGGGCTCAGCACTCAGAGAATGAGCCTTTGGTGGCAGGGCAGGGTTTGAAAAGAGATTTTGTAAACATCAGCTCAGGAAGTTCTTTAGATACTTAGAAAGGCACCTGGAAAATATCCTCTCAAATAACAGCTCTTTTCTTTTCAGAGACAAGTATTTCAAGAGGTTTTATATCCTTCCTTGAGTTGCCCATGAATTTTAACCAAGCATCGATATAATGTGTTTCTTCCAAAGCCTGCATATGTTTCACATCAAGGATCTTTAGATGATTTTTTTTAAAAAAATAAACACCTCCAAGAGGAAATTATAACAGGCACCATTTCTCTCCCTCACTCAGTCCTGATAACTGAAAGCGACATAACTGCAATATAAACAAGTCATGCATAACCAAACATTGATCTGATTCTTTTGAATCAGCATTTTTACAAGTTACTTTTTTAAACGAAAACTTCCAGTCACTCAGAAAGCCCCCTGGTTGCAGTCCAAAGAACATTCTTAAACTCCGTTTTGAATCAGTATATAAAATTTAGCATGCCATAACACAATGGCCTCTCAGCTACAAGCCACCAAGTCTGTCCCACCTCAGGTCCGCCTCTTCTCACCACCAGGGTGGTGTAATTATCTTAAGTTTTCCATCTTGCTTCCTACACTGGCCTTAAATATTACAGTACTTGAACTGTCAACAGGATTGCTGGCACTGCCAAAACTACATGGCCACTGGTAGGGAGGACCTTAGTATGAGCATCATGCAGTACGGCCTGGACGACAAAATTTTGGTGCTATGCTATTAAATCCCTCTGCAGAAGCCTGGACTACAAAAAAGGTTATGATACAATACTTGGGGGAAGGCATGATCAAAATAAGATAAATCATGACAAGTGATGACAACTTTCACTCATTTTGTTGTACAGGCGAGAACAAAACACAAACTTCTTTCACTGGTTGGCATGAGGTTTTGTGCATTTTTCACATTTATGCAAACTCAGATTTGCATAAAAAAGAGTTCCAAAGACCTTGTTTTTTTGCACAAAACATCGTCTAGAATCTCATTGATTAGCTGGTTGGTTGGTTATTTATACATAGTACATGCATACATACATGAACTGAATCATGTAACTCACTGGGGCTGTTCACCAATGAGGTGCTGTTGGCATTAAAAGGACCACACCTGGCTGCACAACCAGCAAGCACCTAGTCATGTGACTGGTGCCTGGTTACTTAGCAGCAATTTACCATAGTGAGTTTTTCCTTCTGCCCTGGTCTCGGTTCTCCACTGTCCTGACCCACGGTAAGAAGAATCAGAAACCCCTGTATTTGTAGCCTTTTCTAACAGGCGCAGCTGACTAGTAATGATCAGATGGGGACAGTTTGTTCCTGTGCCTGCCTACCACTAGAGGACTGGCCTCAAGATTTTCCAAAAGACCAAGAGAAATTCCTAGAGACTCCTGGCCAAACCTGGAGGGTCAGTAATCCTGGTATGGGCCACCCGGCCTGCCCTTGGCACTCATACCCCAATTAGCACACTGCCCTAAAATGCAGTGGAGGACATACCCTCCATCCTTCCGGTCAGCTTCTGTACATGAAGTTGGGGGTGGCCACCATTCTTCTCTTCTCCTGAGGCTACAGAATGTGCTCAGCCTGACCCTGTTTATCACTACAAAAGATTCTGCCCTACCGGCTGATGCTCCAAATTTATTTTGTCCTGTTTAATTTGCTGCAATTCTGAGATCAAAATCATGCCTCTGTCACTCGGTCCTTGCTACGGCTGGAGCAGTCCATGCTGTGCGTTTTCCCAACGGTAAGCCTCCACTTAACTAAACATTCCTAGCGGTGAGCGTAATTCCACCACCCCCCTCCTCCTCCATGCCCCAGCCTCTTGGTAAATTACTCCACAGGCCAGCAGTCATTTTGGAAATTCACAATGCATCCCATGTATATAGGCCCCTCACTGGGTGGAACTGCAACCCTCTGAGCAGCACTGCTTTCCTTTTGTCCTCCACATATGCTCTTTGTCATTCAGTCGATCATGTCTGGTCTCAAAAGGGGGCAGGGAAATCGACCTCTGTTATCTTTAGGGCTATGAAGTAT